GTGGTGTCCGCAGTAAGCAGGGCAAGAGACCAGCGAGCATGCAACGCTTCTTCCCTGGCTTTCATAGCTGGGAAATAGCTCAGAAACGTGCGATTTCTGAGCTGTAAATTCCTAGCTAGGTGGGCCAGGGAGGAAGCTGATCATGCATGACCAGTGCTTGATTAGCGTCTTTGATGTGCAAAGGTGACATTAGGGGTCTACTACTGTCACCTCCAATGTGCTATCACATATACAGGTGAAACTCGAATAATTAGAATATCGTGCAATAGTTCATTTATTTCACTAAGGGTGCCCACACACCTTACGATAATCGTAAGGTGTGTGGTTGTCTTCCATAACACCTCAGCAGTGCCACAGGCTGATAGCTTCCATGCCACGCCGCATTGAGGCAGTAATTGCTGCAAAAGGGGCCCAAACCAAGTACTGAGTACATATGCATGCTTATACTTTTCAGAGGTCCGATATTGTTCTATGTACAATCCTTGTTTTATTGATTGCATGTAATATTCAAATTTTCTGAGATTGTGGATTTGGGGTTTTCATGAGCTGTAAGCCATCATCATCACAATTATGACAAATCACGGCTTGAACTATCTTGCTTTGCATGTAATGAGTCTATCTCACATATTAGTTTCACCTTTTAAGTTGCATTAGTGAAATAAATTAACTTTTGCACGATATTCTAATTATTCGAGTTTCACCTGTATGTGTAATAGCAATAGCGTTAAGTAACAAACAAAAAGTAAAAGTTAAAATTGAAAGAAGTCTCTCCAGAAGCTAAAAATTCTTGTTAACCACCCAGAGGACATTTAAATCTGTGCAGGGGTTTTCAAATAAAATGTAATTTTTGTTTGGGTCAGTGTTGGCTCTAGTCCAATTTAGGGTGTTCCTATGGGGGATTTACAGCCTGCACTAAAGTCACCTCCCTTTTTCATTCTACAGCCTTCTGCCTCCTCCTCTAGGTATAACAGTGCACACAGGAGAGCCTTTACAAACCCCATCTCTTACTCCTTTGTAAGCTGCCAGAATGAACATCTTCAGCTCTGCTGTGCAGCCTTGTGCTTCTCCAATTACCTCTGCCAGCTTCCTTCAAGTAGCAAGATATACTGAGCCCAAACCCTGATCCCAAAGTAGAAAGTGTCGGCTTGTATTATGAATTTCAGCGGCTGAGTTGTCATTCGAAAAAACACAAGCCAGCTACTAAACTAGTCTCTGATGGACAAGTGTAGTATGTGGCTTGTGTTGTTAGGAGGTTTTTCTTTTTGTTATGTTTTGTAATAATAATGTAACCAAAAATTAAAAGAACCAAATTAGCCATCATGTTTTCCTCACAGGAAAATGAAACCACCTGATGAGTCCCTGTGGTTATATTCTCTCCTTGTCCCCATTTTTTTATTTCTTCAGTTTTTACAAATAGATATGTAAGGCTGTGTTCCATGTAGGGCTGCAACAACTAATCGACCAAATCGATTATAATCTATGATTGAAAAAGTTGTCAACTTTTTCAATCATCGATGAATCGGCTTCCAATTGGTTGACCCTTTCCACAGCTCCACACACGCTGCGCGCCGCACCTCCTCCCCACCTCACGCTCGCCGCTGCCAGCCCCCCCATCTGCATTCACGTTGTATAATTTTACACTATCCATTTCACTATATTGCACACCACACTGACTTTTTTACTTCCACCACTCCAAGCTTGCTGCTGTGATGGACTACAATCTCAATGCATACTAGTAACCCATCACTGGAGCCATTTTTTAAAATGTATTTTATTTTTTATCCGATTAATCGAACTTAATAATCGGCTAACTAATCGATTTTGAAAATAATCGTTAGCTGCAGCTCTAGTTCCATGAGCCTAAATGCAAACTGTTCATTACAGACGCTAGTGTTCTTTGAATTGAAGTATCAATGTTCTGTGGATATGTATTGACCAGTGCACATGAAAGAAAAAAAAAATATTTTACTTATTGTCAATTTGCTGGAATCTTTTTTTTTTTTATGCAATATCCTCCAATGATGAAGACTGACAATTTAAATATCAGCAAATGTAAAAAAAAATCAAATTGCTCACTTGATAAGCAAACATTTCTGTTACAACTTCTAGTGTGAAAAGGACTCGAAAACATTTTTGTTAATTATGTATTACAGCTGTCCTTCATAAACTTAATTACTAATTGCTGAAAGGCAATGGGATTCCATTTGCATATGTACACGAAAGGCATGAAATATGCAGAAATATGATTTTAATTAGCATGCTGTGATATGAGGGGATACAAATCAAACTGGCATGTTATAAGATTTTTAACATTAAACACAGAATTCATCTGGACATTTCTTGTATAATGGACACAGCTGAATTATAAAACAAACACTGCACTCAATTAATAGGACATTTTGATATCAAGGTGTTTCATTCTTGCTACAAAGAGCGTTAGCGAGTTATGTTTTTGTGCTACACGGAATTCTAAGCTTCAAATCCCAATATTAGTGCAAAATATCATTTGAAAATGTACAAGAACATACCAGTTAGGACAGAGATAAACTGTAAACCAAGAACCGGGGTATACACATAGGGGGGAATTTATCAAAACTGGAGCAGGCAAAATCTGGAGCAGATGTGCACTGCAACCAATCAGCATCTCTGTCTCATTTTCAAATCTTACCTGAGCATACTGAAGAGAGAAGCTGATTGGTTGCCATGGGCAACTGCTCCAGAGTCTTCTGCTCCAGTTTTGATAAATTTCCCCTACATTATATAGTACAGAGCTCCAATTTAACTTGCACGAAAACAGATTTTACCATGAGTGTGAAAGTTTGCAGTGAAGAGATGGTAAAGTAGGAGTTCTATCAAATGGCAGTCTGTAGTGGAAAGCTGTCTCAACACAGTATACTGAAGATAATTTCCCAAGGCCTAGGGTGGAACATTAAGTGTTCTGCTATATAGTATAAAGCTATGTTCTGCTATATAGTACAAATCCAGCCAGAATTATTTTTTCAGAACCTCTGTCAGAATTGTATTGATTTACACAGAGCAGAAAGAGAAAAATCTCCTCTACAAAGACAGAGGCAGCATTTAAAACTGACAGTCGAAACGCTAATATGCTATGCATAGTAGCACATTATAGCAAACACCTCCAGGACGTTTCTTTTTTTTAAACGATGAACCATTTGGCAGTAAAAAAGTGTATTTTGGATCACACTTGTTATCACAGGCTCTGTAATCTCATACCACGGTGGACGCAGCAAAAATTAGTCAACTGTAAATACCGTATTTGCCGTCCTATAAGACAACTCGGCGTATGAGACGACCCCCTACTTTTTGTGTAAAATATAGGTTTTGGGCTATACTCGTCATATAAGACGAGTATAGCCCAAAACAATGTTTAAATGCACCCACTAACATCCATGGCGGTATTCCCGAGTGTGGCTCGGGGTTAATTTTCAGTACCATAAGCGGTAACCCCGAGCCACACTCGGGATTACAGTCTCTTACCTTGTCCATGATCCCCGCTGTGTCCTCCGTCTTCCGCTGAGTCAATCACGGCAGGCTTTGTATTAATGAATACAGGCTTTGTATTCATTAATACAAAGCCTGCCGTGATTGGCTCAGCGCAGTATACCGTAAGTAGCCGAAGCTACATACAGCATGCCATATCCTTCCGTATGTACCCGGCGTATAAGACGACCCCCGATTTTCGGGGGATGTTTTAAGGTCTCAAAACCCGTCTTATACGCCGGCAAATACCGTAAGTACATGTGCTAGCAAATATTTAGTATGCCTTTAGAAACTGAATGCTTTTTTTAAACCTTGGACACAAAGTTCTCAGTACTTCTGAAACATTACAGTAGAATTCTAAAAAGTTAAACATACTGTATAAAAGAAAAGATTTAAAAAAATAGTCCATTAAAAAATAAAAAAAGCCTTCGATTCAGAGTTGTCCCCAACAGTACTTATTTGCTGTCAGTAATGTCCTTAGTCTTCCAGGCTGAAAGTTGGCCAGCATTTATTCCTATCATCTATTCCTATCCATTTCTATGCATTCATTCCTATGAACATCATCATCATAACAGCTAGCATAAAATGTTGCATCTGGTCAGGACAGTTCGCACAATCCAATACAAAAAAGTTCCCCAACAGCTTAGTCAGCACTGTTTAGACAATTTGAGTTGAAAGTAGGGATTTTGTGTTGCATACATGTGTAGATATATGTAAAGCAACCCTGCTGCATCAAGGGACCTCTTCAAAGCGTGGGCCCTAACTTCAGTCTAACAGAGTTTCTATATTGGGACATATAGAGCAATTAACAAAACAGAGGGGTTAAGCT